CCGTCCACTCCAGAGTGTCGAATGCTGCTGCAACATCCAAACCCATTATGTATGCCGGTTGTGACCACTCCTTAGTCCTGCACAAAAAGCAATCCAGTAGGGCAACGACTTCAGAGACCTGTCCACCCTTCCTCCCAGCAGCCTGTCCACCTCGAAACTCCCCTAGCTGCACCTGTAGCCGTTTGGTGACGACTCGCATGAAAATCTTGTAGCTGACAGCCGTGATGGCAATGGGTCTGAATTCCGTGATTGCCTGCGGGAGGGGAACTTTGGGTAGCATGAGCACATCTGCCAAAGCCCATACCGCAGGCCAAGGCAGTGTTCCCGCAAGGATGCGCGTGAACCACTCTGCCAGTTCTCTAAATGCAGAATCTGTCAGAGCCTGAAACATCTCATTGGTCAACCCATCCGTGCCCATGCTCTTGTCCGCCCTAACACGATTCACAGCACTAGCCACCTCGAGTGTGGTGATGGTGACAGTGGAAGCCTCCCACTCGGTTTGCTGGCCCCTGAGTTGCGTCACTCTGCGTTGGACTAGCGTTGTCACACGATCCTGTGGCATAGCAGTTTGAAAGGACTGTTGCAATCTTTGGGCAGCCGCTTCCGCCCATTGTGGAAATTGCTCAGGGTTCGTGGCAGGGACCTGTTTAGAGGACAAACTGATCGCGGCCTGAGAAGAGACAATTGCTTCAAAGCCTTCCAGTTTCCCTCAGCTGCCATGGTGATAAGGCTCTCGCGCCACTACCACTTTTCCTCCCTTCGCATGCACATGATGCGCTTGGAGAGCTCTCCTCGTAGCTCGGCATCACGTAAAACATTTGAAACGCCAGATAATCTGCGGAGCTGATCGGAATCACGATATCCCATCCGAGGCTGCATCACGCTGTACCTCTGGAAGCACTGTTGCAAATCATGGTACATGGCGTCCACGGGGAGATCATATTGCCCAGTTACCTGTTGCACCTCGCAGTATGTCTGTATTACAGTGGCTATAGCCGGAGAAAAATCTTCTTTGCAGGATCCAGGGACTGTCTGCCCCCTCACATTTTTGAATGATTGTCTGTGTCCCTGCTTGAGCACCACATGCTGTCGCCCGCCGTCCCCTGTGGGAAGATTGAGGCTGACAGCCCGATGATCAGTCCTGATAAGGTCATCACATTCCGGAAGCACCTCGAGATGAGTCATGGGCTGATCTGGGGCTTCCATAGTGGAGAATAACCAGTCGATAGCAGTACCTATTTCTCTACTGGCACCCCATCTTGTTCGAGTGGGCTGCATCGGCATGCTTTGCGGGTGCTGTCGGAGAGATTGAGTGGCAAGAGTCTGCACCAAATGCTCTCCTCGGGAATTTTTGGGGATGGTAAGGATTTCCGGGACATCAAGTCGGCGTTGAAATCCCCTCCTACTACCACTGTTCTCCCTCCAGCTGCTTGTGACTTTCAAGAACAAAAGCAAGCGCCCTCAGCGCAGCGTCATAGTCTTCACGAGGTTTGTTCTCATGCGGTAGATGCACGTTGCACACCAAAATCTTTTCACTTGCTGAACTTCGAGAAAGAGATAAGTACATACCATTGAGAAAGTTGAGAAAGGAACCACGGTCGTGGAGGGTTCGAAAACTGTGTTTGCTGGCATAGATCTGCAGGCCACGAAATGTACGAGTCTGTTCAGGGCGGCACGTGAAGATCCATCAGTCAGGATTGCTGTCGTCCATTTCTGGACACTGGGAGCAGGATACTTCCTTGAAAAGCAAAATATGGGGAGGTTCCTCCGAAAATGCCTGTATAAATTCCTGGACAAAGTCAGCGCTGGCCCCTGCCACTTTCCAAGTGAACATGGACAACAAGTAAAGACTGCGGCGTGTGGCCGACCATTCAACACAAGACCACTTGAAAAACAGAAACAATACCATTGAGCGGCAGCAGCCATACGATCAGCTTAGTTGTGCAAGCAGAGCCAATAGCAAGCCATACTTCTTTTAATTTCTTTTAGAGTGGAGTCGGCATCCAAGCCTCCCACTGAAGCCCCCTCAGCCCATCCACCTAGTACAGAAGACTGGGTCTGAAGCGTGTTAAACCCTGTGATACCCCTGTGCCATCACGTGCGCACTGCTCTTTTGTTGGGGCGGGGTTTACTCACTTACTGTTCTGCCTGAGTTCGCTTTGGATCGCCCAACAACCGGAAGGACCAAACAGCAAAACAAAACAAAGGGTTCCTCCACTGGATGTGAAAATGGATGTACTATGCTTCGTAAATCTCACAAGCACGCGTTATGAGGTCCTTGCAGCGTTTCGCATGCCAACTTCACATGATCAAACTGAGTGTCCGCTGACTGTCCGTTTGGATAGCCTTCCCGTAACCCTCGTCGATTCCACAAAGCTTGGCCTCTATGATTGCTGCGCCCTCCCGTGTGTTGTGACAACCTACTCCAGCGGTCCAGGTCCGGGACGGCCAGCCCAGACACATCCTGATTTCTTCTCTCATTTGCATGCATCAGTCCTATTCTGCCGCTGTGCCGGCAGTACACACTCCAGAAATCCCCGCGCCATCTGCGAAGAGATTAGTCAAGGCTGTCGTGGAGCTCGCCTAAAGGCATCATTGAACTGTGACTTCTGCTCTTCCGTTGAAGATTCAAAATCTGAAGGTCTGCACGAAACTACTCCTCCTAACATGCAGCGTTGTCCACGTTCACGTATATGCTTGGTACTCGTAATTAGTTACTTAGCACTTGGCGGCTGCTGCAACGAGTTTTGAACGAATCGAATACTTTTGTTCTAGGATTCTATATTCTGAGGCACTGCTCCCTCCTCAGTGCTCAGGCACTTTCACAGAAAACCCTAGAACACGAAGCCCACGCTATGCTGGCCTGGCTCCTGAATGATTCAGCAGGTCGCTTCCGCGAGGCCTCCATCACAGCGTCACGGCACGGCCAAAGGCTTGCTGGCGATTGGGCCCTGAACGCATGCTTCTTGGCTCAAACCATCCATGCTACTATCCATGTTACGTGGCACCCTTGTCAGCGCCGGGGCTCTATCAGCAACACTACTTTTGCGAATGTGACAGGACTGCTTTTGCTTGCACTGGGTTGGAACTGCTAGCGACTAATTACATTTCTATGCAGGAAAGCTGCCGAGATCTTCCTGCCCAACACGGAACGTGTCTTACTCATCCTGGCTTGAGGCCAGCCACGCGCAGAGAATCGACTGCACTGCTGAAGAGAGAGAGAGAGCGCGGCGCTGCTCAATGCAAGCACGTCATGCTTTGATTTTTTTCAATGTTGGCCGCGCCGCCAGGTATCGCTCTCAACCCACGTTCTGTTCGAGAATTGCTGCTTTCACTATGATGCTGATCTCATCGCGAGGCAGCGGAAAATGCCTAAAAGCAAGCAGTGACAAGCAGTGTTTTTGGATCTTTTGCTTCAGCCACATCCTGGAGCATAACAGGGTTCAATTGCTTTAGTATGATGCAAGCAGCAAATGCGGATGAAGCTAAGATCTGACACTCCCAATGTTCTCGAGCAGTGTGAGCACGGCAGTTGCCGCTTGTTTGCCGTGGCTCACTTCACGCCGAAGCCGCAACGCCACTTGGGTTGAGTCCACCATTCACCAGTCTAGCAAAAGGAGATCTGGGGCGGTCTTGGTCACAAATAAGTTTGTGGTACCAGGCCTTCTTTTCGTACTCATCATAGGTATCTTCCCACCTGGACACGCTGCTGAAAGCATGACCGCAAGCAACCAAAAAGAAGCTCCTCTGCTCGATGCCTCTTGGGAAATGTGCCACTGCGCAGCATCATCTCACGATAGTCCTGAAAGCCGTGCCGGCAGCACAGCGTGCACACAGCACAGCAGTTAACAGAATGCAATCCGGCTATGAAACTGCGGCCCACACCCTGCTGGTCTTGAGATAGTTGCCATGGGGGCCAGTAACATTCTTTGCCATGGGCATGTTGGAAACCTGGGCTAGGCACAACCTGAACTTCTTCCTGCAGATGTTCTGCAGTGTCCCGTCTCAAGCTGGGAATTTTGATCTCTGCGCAGCGATGCGGCGATGCCTGCTGCCAGGTAGTGGCATTGCCCTGGCAGTGAGACCAATTCCACGTCATTTAAGCGAGTCGTTTGCGTTCACGCGATCCAGACATTTCCTGGGACGCGCAGGAACTTGACCAAGAGATCAATGTGCCGGACCTCGGCGGTGGTGTGCAACCCCCCAAAATGGAGGACTAAGTTGTTTTATCTTGTCGTGCCTCAGGCACAGAAGCAGTCAGATTCCTGCCCGGCTCTTTATCAAGAATCCTTTCTGGCACCCTGGTGTTGTACTCAGAGACTTCCTCATGGTGACTTCCCCTTGGCGTCTGGCGTGCCATTAGCGAGCCGGACCCCGGCCATGATCCAGCTCTCCTTGGCCACACCAACTGCGGATCGCAGCTATGGCTTTCACACGAGCAGCACGGGAACAGGGGTGGCAGTGGCTGCAGAAGATTCACAGCGTAAGAGACCTTCCATGCCTTCTTCGCAATTCTGGTGATTTTTCAGCATGTAAGCTCCACGATGGCTCGAGTGCACCGATTGCGTTGCGAGTGAATCACTGCAGGGATTGTCTTGTGCGCTGGTGTCAAATATTAGGGATGTCTAATGTCTAGTGAGACTGGTTCCAAGGGCCTTTCCAAATACTCTCTTGGGAAGCGTTGCTGGACTTGGGTTCGCAGCCAGGAAGAGGGTCACTTGGAAATTTTCGGGGGTCACCTGTAACTTCTCAAACACACAAGTTGCCCAAAGTCACTTGTGATTTCTCCAGGTTTGGGGTTCAAGGTCTAGGAGGTAAGGGTCTAAGTTTCAGAGTGGTGGGTTAGGGTGTAGGCTTTAGGGCTCAGCTACACATGAGAAGGGGACATATTTTAGGCTGTAGGGTTGTTGCAGTTAGCATGTAGGCTTTTGATACTGCAGTTTTTGCAGGAAATAAGTATGGCAGGAGCATTTGCCATGAAAAGTGGCAAGGCACACAGACCTCTAAAGAGCTTTAGAGGTCCGAGGGTTCAGGTGGGCGCTGGTCAGGGCTTTGAGGGTTTAGGGTTTCAATTTCTGGGGACCGGGGATTTGAAAATGTATATTATTGGGGCTTGGGGTGGTTCAAGCCTTCGTCTTTGGCTTAGAGTTTGAGGCCTGGAGGGTTAAGGGTTTAGATTTTGGAGGCTCTGGCTCTAAGCTGTTGGAGTTTCTCCTGGATTCAACCAGGTTCCTCGTTCTGAATGGCTGCTAGCGGGCGGCCTCGTATTGTGGATGCGCCCTTCGCCTGAGAGAAAGAGAGAGAGGTTTAGCCATGTTGTGATTATGATGTAGGCATTCGATAGTCAGCGAGATCGGGGAAAACTGGACCTCATGTTGGCGGGAGACATTTGCACATTTACGAATATTGTTGCCAAAATCTGGCCTGGGCCGTGGTGTCGTTTGGGGCTTGTCAATGGACCGTTTTTCTGAGGCTCCAGGGCGATGGAAGGCTGGGTTGAGGGTTGGGCCAAAGTTGGGGCTTTCAGCGTTAAAGGCTAGGGCCTTGGGTTTGAACGCTTGCTTCAGGGTGACGATTTAAAGCCTGTAGGTTTTTCAGGTGATGAATGAATCAAGGGTCCAAAAGCCATAGACAGACCCGCGCGATGCATCTGTGGAGGAATTGACACGTGGACGATAAAAGATTCTCGTCATCCACAGCCAAGGGCCTTCTAGGTAAAGCTCAAGCCTTGAGTTCTCGGTCGAGGTCCGTCCCGACAGGGTCAACTCACAGTTTGAGGTGCTAAAGAAGTGACACTTGAAGTTTTAGAGAGAAAGGTCCAATGTCCAGGCAGAAGCTTGCAGCTTTGGCACTGCTAAAACAGCCTATACTTATGATTGCTTATACTGTGCAGATGGGCACTTTGGACCATCTGAAGGCAGTGCTTACTTGGACATGTTCATAGGTCCAAACTGCGGCATTGAAACACATGCATAAGGCTGGCCACCACAAAGGCACGGCCCTTAGGGCCCTTGGGGACTTGCTCAGAGAAGGAGACTGGACTGGTGCGGCAGGGGTGGGGGACTGAGAACCGAACATGGATCACACAGTTTTCGTGGGGTTGACTCTCAATAATTTCCCGAAAGCATTGCGAAGGGTTTGCCAGTCGAGTTGGTTGTGTATAGGATGTCTTGATGTTTGATTGATGGTATGATGTGAACGCGTGGGTGGGGAATCAAAAAATCAAAGGAGAATCACGAAATTCTGAATCGGTGATCGAAAATTGTTAAAACAAGGATCAAAGAAATCAAAATGAGGGAATGTGAGGGCTCTGCGCGGGAGCTGAATTTTCCCAAGGACGTACTAGTAAACCCTCCCTTGCAAACCACTTGCGAAATGTAGTAGTTCTTGATGAAAGCTACTAAACACGATGCCACGATGCGGTTCATGATTCAAAAGAGCGGGGAGGGGGGGGGGGGGGGNNTGGGGTGTTGTTGAGAATGTGGCAGTTGTTGATGAGGCTTGACTAAGACAGTTCATGTTTTGATGGTAAACAATGGAAAATGATGCATGAAAGTCTTGAAAATGATAAGCATGATGGAAAAAGAAGAAAGACAAAAATATATTTCCGAACATGACAAATACTGGAAGTGTTGAACAAGTGTGAAAATAAAGACAAACCCATGATGAAAAAGCAATGGCAAACCTTGAAATATGGCAAAAGAGTAGGAAAAAGAGCTTATGATATGATGAAAATAATGAAAATTATGAAGGCTGATGATAATGATGACAACTGGATGATGAAAATGAGGAAAAAACTTTCCAAATAGTGATCAGTAATTCCAGACGATTAAAAATTTTTGAACCGTGGAAAATTATGAAACATCCACAAAAATGCTGGGCACAACATGGTTCTTCATGATGAAACATGATGACATGTGATCAAAAATTGGGTCATTTGATGCAAGTGATGAAAGTGACAGAACAGGATGGAAATGAAAGTGAGGAAAATGATGACAATCACAAAGAAAGGATGAAACGTGATAAAACGCCCTCCACTCTTCCATTGCCCCGTCCTTCATTGCTTCTTCCTTGCTTCCTGCCTTTCTGCCTTTCTGCGCTGACGGCGGGTGAGGTTTCCCCCTTTTGATTCACTTCAGTAGCATATTTTGACTCTTTATTGATATTGATTTGATCTTTGTTTGATACTGAATTCTTTTTATAGATCCTGATCGGATTTTTCCTGGATCCTTATTCGATGATCTTAATACACATCCCGTGCGGCACTCACATGCGCACACGGGTGCTGCGACCTCAGTCTGCGAAGGCCTCTTGAGGGAGGCATGAAACTCAAAGAGCAGCCTTAGCACAAAAGCACCCCAATTCAGTGCTGAATCACCTTGGTTGACAGGGCATAGGCATGGCTTGACCATCCCCCAGAAACTGGAAACTTGAGAGCTAATTCAGTGAAGACAAGGCTCGCAGAATGCTCCACAGAGAGCCCACCCTTCCCAATTCGCCAAACGTAGTCCTTCGATGTGCACAAATGCAAGGAGTACTGGAGGATGCAAAGGAGGATTACTCTGGACGAGCATGGACAGAGGACAGGCGGTCCAACGCACGTGCTTCGCAAGACTGAAATGCAGTCTCTCAACCATCTAACTGAATTCCACTTTCGCTGTTGGACTGTTGTGATACCTTCCCGAGAAACTCTGCAGTGATCGTGCTGTGCAGACATCAGCGCAACAATTTGCTCTAGAACTGGAGCACAGAAACAATCCTGAAAATGTACAGACTGTTGACTGGGAATGACTAGTCAGATACATGCCAGCGCCCACATGGAGAACAACATTGCGATCAAACGCATCACCATGTCCTAAATTGCCGCCAGGCTGCTGCGATTTTGATCTGCGTTGTGCTGCCAGTTGTGAAGATCACCTCACATGTCGGCAAATGTCCTGAATACACCCTGCCACTTCTTCACAGCATGCTAGCGCTCAAACCAAAACCTTGCAAAAACTACTGAGAAACACAAAACCTTAACCAAAAAACCAGGAGAGACACACTTGGTGCAGCCAAAGTGCTGTCCTTGGCCTTCGCTTATCAAGCGGAAGATGGGAAGGACACCCATCCATGATCTCCAGCCCCCTGGAGAGACAGCTCTTGTGTCACATCAGTACAACTCTGTAAGAATCGCGAGGCAGCCTCTGGTCAACAAAATCGCGGAAGCAGCTGAGAACTGTCTCCTGGCCACCGTGCAAACGTCTGAAGCGCAGCTTGGCTGTGTTCGAAACGGTGTACCTCCACATGATCTGTGACCTGAATTCTTGTAGGCAATGTTGTGCATGCACGCTGTCATATTGCTTGGTGCGATCTAGCGAGATCAACAACATGGCAGGTTGGCTGAATGCCTGCTTCACAGCAAAAAGAAACATGTTTATGCATCACGTGACCTCTAATAATGAACCAATGAACTGCGGCTCCATGATGCCATGATTTGCATGAAAAAACTGCTGCTTTGGCGGTGTCCTGTGTGACAGCACCTACATAACCACGTGTCGATCATTAATTCTATTCTATCAACGAGGCAGTGCTTGCATGCCAGTGTGTCTCAAGGTCCTGCATCTGCGGATCCAATTCATCAGCAGGCCGGTGCACCAACAAGACCTTGATAAACGAAGATGCTGTGCAATATTGCGGCAATTGCATCTCCCATACCAAAGGGCTGCCACCACCACTCAGATTACATGTTCCCTATGCATTGTCTTGTGTCCTGCCGAGGCACATGAGGATCGTGCACAAAGGCCTTTGCTGTTGCATCACTGTGAACGTTATCTTTTGCTCGAGATTCAACTCCGCCAGCACCATGAAATGTTCCAGAGACCATGCGACAGACTCGCGGCTCGTTCCAAGCCATATCCTACTTTACTACCATGTTGCCTCTCTGCCTGAACATACTTACAGTAGCAGGC